GGTTTTTTATCTGTTAGTCAAAAGATGAAACAGAAACAGATGTGGGCAAGGAATGGCTATTCTTACTGTTTATATTGCTCTCAAAATCTTTTTTTCCCATTTATTTAAAAGTGGCTGGCAATAATTTTATATACTCATTTAAAAGCCAATTAATGTCAAGTACCATTAAAGAACTCTTACATATGTGCAGTAGCTGGCCTGTACAATGTTTATATCCATATCGTTCATCAACCATATATTGGAAACAACTTAAATCCTGTGGATATAATAAATTCAGTAATACAGACAGTGTAGATAAAGTACAATTTACGGGTGAAAGGTGGATCAGTCTTACAATTTTGAGTGAAAAACCAGTCACATAGGTTAACAACTGATACAATTTTCATGAATTCAAAGATGTTTATGATGACAGTAACCATAACTCACTGAGCATTGCTCTCTGTCAGTCACTTCAATGTTTTCCATATATAGATGCATACTCATTTAAATTAACTTGCTTTGGGTCATTTTGACTTGGTTACAAAGAAAATATGTAATGCTATAATAAATATTTGAACTACTTGTGGCAGAATTATTATATCAGTTATATTGGGAAACATAAATTATAGGTGAAAATAATTAGGAATTCAATATATGCCTCTAGAATTCACATCCATTTGTTAGTATATGCATATGTTACATATCTTTGTATATGCTAGTATGCATAGATATTGTTATGTAGATATTCATGCAAAGTATGTGAGCCTTAGGAACTGAGTTTGGTTATCGATTGCCTTTCAAGCAAATAAGGTAAAATGTATCTAAGGTTCTGAGATCCTCTCTGCTCACAGATATATGGACCTTTGAAGAACAAATCAGGAGACTCTATCTGGGGAAGAATGCTCAGAGAGTGTGTTTTGGCAGTACATAGTTGGTCAGTGGTAGTATGAGTTTGTTGATTACTTACAACAGGTCAAGAATAAGACTATTTCCTAAAAGTCAGTCTCTTATAGCCATCCACTGTTGTGTCTGACTCAATCTTAGCTTGTTTACCAGCTTTGAATTGAGGATTGAAATAACTAAGTAGCAGCTGTATCTATAATAACATCATTCTCTGTTGAGTTTTTCTGTTTTAGGCTTCTTTTATTTAAGATTTATCATTAAAAAAAATTACCATTTGTCTTATGATGTGATTTGCAGGCTAATGTTTGTTTCTATGATATCTGTTGGTATTAGCCAAAATTTCTCTCCCTACAGTTATAATGTCAGAATAAGATAAGTTTTAAATGAGGTAGACTTATAAATGACAATCAATAGTGCATTTTCCCTAAAACAGAATGGCTTTGGGAACTACTTCAGACCTTATTTTTAACTATAGCATTATTTTTATAGATCTTAGAAAGTAATTTTGACTTTTTTGCTACTATAAAAGGGTGTGGCAATTATATGTGATAATAGAGGCTATATTAAATGTTCACACTGAAATGTGTGCCGTCATTTAAGTAGAAAATTAACACCATAAAACTTTAGATGTTAATACAGTTTGTAAATAAGCTATGTGTTATATTATCTACTGTAGATTTTTTTCCTTTGTGTTTCCCTCAAGTAAGAAATAGAGTTTTATTCTTGAATTTTTATTATTTCTCCACAATCTACTCTTCCTATCTCATCTTTCTTATGTATCCATTCATGACTACACATGTGCACAGATAAACATATTTGTCTTTGAAACATTTTTTTCCTCCCTTTTGGAAATACCCTTCCTACCTGCTTAGCTTATGTTGATTTCTGTAGCTGCCTTTGCCTAATAGCTGGCTTTTAGCATATGCAACCGTAATAGAGTGGAAAAACACTCACTTTCAAATGCAAGTTTCTGCCTCTCTACTTGACTGCAAGAAATAGTACTTCAACATTCTGTACCAAAATGGTAAATGCTGAATCCAGTTTGAATTTTTACAGGATTGCCTATGAAAGCATGTAGTATTTCAGGTGCTATAATATAGATTAATTATAGTAATTAGTGTTAATATCAGTTACAAATTGGGACCGAGTTTGGGAGTTTACCTACTGACAAGCTAACAAGTTAGCATGCCACAATATTCATAAACGTTGGGAGAACCTGAGTCTATGGGGACGGAGACAGAATAGTTTATTATTCAAAGATACAGCATAACTGTAAGTTTTATAGATTTTTGAGCCCCAGTTCTCACAGGGCATTATATAGAAGCCCAGGCAGCAGCTACATAGATAGGAGTTTGTGGTATAGAACAGAATCTGGAATTTAGGGAGTCCAGCCCCTTTTAATAGATAGTAAGTATACTTCTAGACAGAAATAAAGTTGATTTTCTTTAACAAGATACTCTACTTTGGCTTCTAAAACTACTTATTTTATGAATACTTGTGAGATAATAGTTTGGAATGAAGGTATTTAACGAGTGCTTTTACCATCTCACATGTTAATGCTTGAAAACCTCCAACATTATTCTCTAATCTATTTCTTGAAAGTCTAACCTGCCCATGCAGAAAAATAACTCTCACCCAAAAGGAGATAAGGGTTAGTTTATTCTAGAACATATTAGTGACTGTGGCCTGGGAACAGAAATTCAGCTTACTCCAAATTCCATGTTCCAATGTGGTAACAATTTCATGAACTTTTATAGTAATATGACAAACAGAAATATAATTCAAGATACTTTTCAAATATAGTGTTGAAAATATCAATGGATGGGTTACAGCAAGACAGGGAAATCTCTATTATAGACCTCAGATGCTGGCTGACAATATTCTTAGTCTTTTGGTTGGTGGAAGTTAGTGATCTGTTAAGTTCATACATCCCAAAAGGTTTCACACAACAATCACTTAGATGTTAGGTCAGACAGAAAGATGGAAACGGAATGGCTATCAATAGTACTTATAGCCAAGGAGATCATTGTAATTAGGTGCTGGACCAGCAACCGGACTTCCAACTTCTCCACAATCATTAGTTGATAAGCCTTGCAGAAGGTTATTGTAAAGTGTGGATCTTTCCAGAAACTTTCATTGATGCACCTTAACTTCTCTAACCTCATTACCACCTCTCTCTCTCTCTCTCTCTCTCTCTCTCTCTCTCTCTCTCTCTCCCTCTCTCTCTCTCCCTCTCTCTCCCCCCTCCCCCCTACTCTTCAACCCACCAACATTCTTGCCATTAGCACTTTGCTCTGCCCATAATTTTCTTCCCCCAGAGCATCACTTAGCTAGCTCTTTGACTTTTAAAATTCAGCCTTTTCAAACCAGAAGTGGGTCTTATCTGACCAACTAGTATAGAGTAACCTTCAGCATTCTGTGACATTGCTTTTTAAAAATGGTATGTCAGAGTTTCAGTTTTTACCCTCTGCCCTATCTCAGCATGTAAGAAAAAGCTAACATTTTCATAATCTCTCTCCCATCTCTTCCTACCCTCCTCCTCTGTCACTCCTTCCATTCTTCTTTTTATCCTTTCTTTCCTCCCTTCTCTAGAAGAGTAGCATTTAGTATCTCATTAAGGTATGTATTGAAATGGATAGCCACATAGGTTAATGTATTCCCTATTCCTTTTGTTTTTTTTTTTCCCTCCTTGTTCTAACTAATAGTATTAACCTTTGTTTTGTAATTTCTAATGAAAAATATGCATTATTTCTGTTTTTGTTTTTGTTTTTTTAATGGTCAAGAGTTGAGAATAGCTCAGTAAAATGCCTCCAAGCCATGAAACCTGTGTTTGTATCCCAGCACCAACACAAAAGCTGGGCATGGTTCAGTAGTGGAAGTCTATAAGCCCATCGCTGGGGTAGCAGACACAGCTCCTTAGTGCTCACCCGTCTGCTGTAGAACGCACTCCCTAAGCTGTCTAGCCAAATTGGTGAGCTCCAGGTTCAATGAGAGACTCTGTCTCAAACAATAAATTTGAAAGTTGTTAAGGAAGATAGCCAATGTCAGCTTCTGACTTCCACCTTCATGGATATATATGGATATATAAATTTGTGCACATGAACATGTACACACACATACACCACACATGCACAGTTGTAGCAACAATAATTATATTGTTCAGTAGTAGAGTACTTGCCTGGGTTAGGACCTGTGCATACCTAGATTTAATCCCTCGCATTGAAAAAAAAAATGCAAATGGATTGGGTCACTCAGGTGGTAGAGTACTTGCCTATTATGCAGGAAGCCCTGGATTCAGTCTCTAGCACTGCATTAAAAAAAATACTGAACAACCTACTTAGGGTTGAATTTTTAGAATATTACTATTGGTAAACATGTAACCTGTTTTCACTGACACTAAATAAAATGTAGTCTCTGTTTAATGTTGTAATATGATGCCATGCTGTTTGTTGGCACTTAAGAAACTCTACCTTTACCTACTGATTCTTACTAATGCCACATGAGAGGCATTTCTTGATTGGTATAAAACTCAGAAATAAGAAATTAATTAACTAATCACATATCCATTGAGATCTTTTGATTAACATGCTACTGGTTTTGATCAACACTCTCAGAATCTGGCTTCGAGACCCTAAATATTTACACAGTTGTTTTTATGACTCTTCTTTCGATATGAAAAAAAAAGGAACTGATGACCATAAGATAAAGTACCTATGAGATTTCATTCTCTTTCTGTCATTTCTCCATTTTCTTAATAATGAATAACTTATAGGAGAGAAAATATAGCAGACTCTTAACAGAGTTGAAGACACTCTATATGTTGGAAAGTTGATTTGATTTGTAAATTTAACTGCCTTTTGATTTTTAGTTTCTGCCTCTCTTCTCCTTTTAGTTAATTCCATTTACATGCAGGTGCTTTAAACCTACCAGTATTTATAGATATATAACATATTTAACAAAGGTTTATATGTCTGCCTTGTAAGACTGCTACTCATTTAAGAACTAAACATCTGAAGGATATTGTCATGATTCTACCTTATATATAATTTTAGATAATTTTTTCTGTGAAACCACTAGTTAAAATTAACCGTTTTTCAATTTTTTAAATTTTGTATTAGCAAGCAATAAAAGAAAACATCAGAAAAAGAGAAGCAGCAGAAAAGGAAAAACGTGCCAGAATAGCTAAAGAATTAGCAGAGAAAGAAAGACTTGAACGCCAGCAAAAGAAAAAGCGCTTAGTAGAAATGAAAACTGGTGAGTACCGTTCACCCCCTGCTCATGCTTCACACTCTTAATATTTATGTGCTTGCTTTATTAGCATTTAATGTACTTGGAGAACAAAATATGACCGCATGTTTCTGTACCTAAACCATAAAGCAGCTGTTTCCCGATGAGTTTTCCTCTCTTTAATTTGCCAATATGTGATATCTTCCTCTAATGTTGGTCAGGGGTAATTAGGTCTTCTGGTAGACTCTTAGTTCTAGTATATACTCTTTCCTTTATTATGCATAGATAACAAGTCTGTTGCAGTGTCTCTTATGAAGTTTATAACCAGTGGAGCCTAGCGAGCCTATATAATGTCACTCCCTTAAAGAAGACCAACTTTCCCTCACCCAGAAATGATCAGCTGCCAGTAGTTCCTCAGCAAAGGTAGGGGCTTCTTGCCCATTTCCCCATTTCTGTGCTTAGCTTTTGTCTGGTTTGGGTTTGCATGTGTCTTGTGCATGCTGTCACCATTGCTGTAAGTTCACATGAGCAAGGTCTTAGAAGCCTGGAAAAACTCTGTTTCCTTGTGGTGATCTACCAACCCAGCTCTTAAAATCTTTCCACCTGAACTGCAGACACACACTTGACTGGATAGGCCTGAACATAGACAACAGAATGTATGAAATCCAGAGGGAGTGCAGATAGGGGAGGGTCTAAATATGATTAAGATGGATTGTAAGAAATGCACAAAAATTCAATAAAAATATGAAAGAATAAACTTACAACCAAGAGATGCTAACACTTTGAAATTCTGATTTTGTCCCATGGGAGGGACAAAAGGTAACCAAGGAAAAATTGATTAAAAGAAATTTAAAACTGGGTTGAGGGTATGACCCTTGCCTGGTGTGCTTCGGCTTGAGGCTCTGAGTTCAGTTTCTAGCATTAAAGAGGCAGAGATAAGAAAACAAGAAGGAAGGGAAGGAAAGGAGGGAAGGAGGGAAGGGAAAAGGGAGAGTGACAACAGAAACAGGAACCACATAGCAACCAATTGTAATCCTTATAAATAAATGCAGAAAAAATAAAATTTTACTTTTTTTTTCTTCCAGACATGATATTTTAGTCAGTATGTTTCAATGTATCCTTCATAGACTCATATTAAAACTTCTTTGAGAAAAAGACATAATGTCTGAGATTAAAGTAAAAATAGCCTAGAGTGACTGGGACATAGGCGATCTTATGGATGAAATAAGATTAGCTCTAAATAGTAGTTGCCAAAGTAGGGTAATATGTACTGTGAGGAATGGTGTGGTCACTATACTGTTTTCTCTGCCTTATAGAATGTTTTCTAATTTTTTAGTTTCTAATTTTTAATGGAATTATTTTTAAAAACTCAACAAATTTAATTTTTATAGGAATATCTATATATTTTTTAATGCTAAAAGACAATGCTAACTAGGGAAGCAAAAAAATTAAGTTGCAGTTAAATCCCCAACCTCTGAAAATTCTTGTTCTTTCACTTCCAAACCACTAAAGATTTCAGGTTTTAATTAAAATCTACCAGCTTCCCTGCTAAATCATGGTGATTCACAATTCTGGACTATGAATGTGCCTAGGTTTGCCCAGGGGTAGGCAGAGATGCCACTTCTGTCTTCTTTACTTCCACTCTTAAGGCCTATTTTATGTTTAATAATGCAAACAGTATAGTAATGTATCACATTTGCTTCTTCTAGGAACAAAAAAAGTCATCTAAGCACAATTTATTTATATTTGAAATTCAGTGTTACCAAAATGAAGATCAGAAAGGTTTATTATTGACTGTTAGACTATGATTTTCAAATAATCTTAAATTAAAATATTAGCTTTTAACTTAACTTTGAAAAGTTGCTCACCTAGTTGAGTCATCTAGCCAACTGTTGATGGCAACTTGGCTGTCCTCTTGGGGTCTGGCCTGAGGAACACACACACAACCTCTCAGTGTTGCTCTGTGACATCAGTTTGGAAAACTGAAATTTAGTATAACTCAAAAGATTCAGTGCAACTTCCAGTGGAATATTTTTTACTATTTCTATTCTTTTTTTCTCTTTAAAAAAATTATATTTTGAATAGAAAAATTATTTTTCCAATTTAAAAATAGTATTTATACAGTATAGAAACCACCTAAAAAATAGTAGATCAGAAGACCATTATTCATAATTTCCCTATCCAAAGAATCACTGTTAACATTTGGGCACATTGTCCTTTGAGTTTGGAAAAGTTCTGCCTTTGAATAAAAGTTGTGGTCCTGGTGAATATGCAACTTGGTATCCTGCATCATTTTGCTAAAATTTCTGAGTATTTTGTGGGTTTTATGATTTGTTAATTTCAAATATGTATTCATTGAATATGTCCCATCTAATTTGATTTACATTATTTAATAAGAAAGTAATGGAATAGTTACTTCTGACTTTTCAGTGTCATATCAAATAATTAGAAAACATAATTTTATTAGGATACAGAGTGGGAAAAGATAAATATTTGTAAAATAGACTTTTGATGCATGGTACTAAATTGATTTCCAAAAGTATTGTTCTAATTTTCCTGACTTTCCACATTAGGTTATGGTTTTGTATTTTATGAAATACAAAATAAGACATACAGGAATAAAAAATGCCACTACTTGTCTTGATAACTTTCCACTTTAAAAACTACTACAAATACACAGTCACCTTTTTCCACTTATAGAATATGTTTTTTCTGAAATCTTGACTTTTATGAAATGAAGGTTTTCTGAAATAGAAGACACTAACATAAGTATGTTCTATTGGCATTTGATTTAATTCTGTTAGAATCATAAGTTAGTGGATGGTTACATTATCTTTCATGCATTCCTGAGATTTGACAAACCCAAGCTTCAGTGCTATATTATGCAAATATGTTGTGGTTTTCTATTATCATTTTATTGGTTTGAGGACAGAATTTAATGTATAGATCACCTTTATTAGTCCTTCACTCAACAAATAGGGGTTTTCTTCATACATATACTGACATCATAGTGATAGATAAGAATGAACTATGTCTCTTTTGTAATGAAGTTTAAAAAATTGCAATGAGTGAATCAGATAACCAAAAATATAAGTTCAGAAGTGAAATAGTACAGGCTGAGCTGGACACTGGCAGGATGGGGAGAGTGATGAAATTTGGTTTTATGGAACTCAGAAAGTGTATCTCAAAGTTCCAGTTGAAAATTCTGATTGATAAAAATCCCCTGAATTGACACCTTTTCTGGCCAGTGTCTTTGGGATAAGCAGGCCTGTGTTTCTGCCCTTTACTCTATGTGCTTATGTACTTTATATTTTTAAACATCTTTTTGTGAGAATCAGCTCTAAGTTTGTGTAGTTTTCTGGGCAGGTGTTGTTTTTGCACAGATCATAGCACTTTTCCAATCTTGGTAGCTGTCTCCAGCCTGGCTTTCCTGGTATCAAATAGTATAGAACTGTGAATTACTGTGTTTACTTCAGTGTTTGTTTCAGTCTGGACCAGGAACTTTTTAGTTTATCTGTTTTTGTATGTAAGAGACGAAACTACTGAATGGTAGAGCAAGAGAAAAATCTTCATATAACACTGTCATAAACCCTCAGGGAGCTTCCTCCTGTATATTTTCCTGACTTTAGTATTTTGGGCATGCAAATAAGAACTGAATTCTTTTTACAGATTTACCAATTCTCGAATCACTACCTCAGGTGGTAGAGTAAATTAAATCCCAGTTCTTTCTCACCCACAGTAGATCATGACTTGCCCTTGGCGGAGCAGGCAGCTGTTTTAAATGTACTGGTATTTATCATCACTGTCCTTAACAGATTTCTGTTAATAGAATGAAAATAAAGAGAAAACCATGAGTTAGGTTTCTCCCAAAAGAAAAATGAAGCATTAAAATCCTTTTGAACAGCAAATCTAAAAAAAAGTAGAGGGTCTTATATTATTATTTCACAGTATTAAAAGATCATTTTTCCCATTTTTGTTTTCTTCAAACCTGATGAGCCTCTACTTCTTAAATACTCATACATTTTGGGGGTATTACTTTGTAAACAAATAAATAAATTACAGATTTGTCTCTGTAAGAATTTTGAATTAGTAAAGTTAGTGTTTAAATTTGAATTATTTTAATTTAGAAAATATCTAATGCATTAAACATCTATAAATTAGTAAACAGAAATTAATATTTATTTGAATTATACTTCTATCCTTATGAAATCATATCTAGAAAGACAAATGAGAATAATGATTTTATATTATTGTATTTAAATAGAATATTCCAAATTCTATTTCTATATCTTAATCATGAAAACAAGGCATTTGATAATAGAATTCTAATATTATGCTTTGAGATTTCCTGAGTTTGTAAGATAATTCACATAATTTTTATATAGCACATCAGAATGGTCTTGAAATGGACCCTGTGTTGTGTAATTAAGTTTTGTGGGGGAAGTAAGAGCTTATTTAAGGAAGTAATAAAAACTATACTAAGAGCTCCTATATTTTAGTCTTTAGGTTGCAATTTGTCTATTATTAATTAGGCTTAAATATCTCATTTGGTGCAACTTCAGTCTATTAAATAAAGGGATAATTAGCTTCTAGAAATCCATTGTTTACCCACATGGTCAAAACTGCTTCTTTGTTTTCCATTCTGTAATTTAGAATAAACAATTAGGCATCCATTTTAGAGGAAATGCATATTGCACATAGAAGCATTACTTGGGAATGTCTCTACCAATCTCAACAGATACACAATTTATATGTGTATTTGCTTTTATAAAGGCTTTGACAATTACCCTGTCCTCTACAAATGTCATAAAATTTAGATTATTTTCCATAATTGTGCATATTCTTTGTTTTTTTTGTAGTGCTTTCAGTTTTCTAGTGTTATTGACAATTGATGCATATAAATAAGTCAGTGGTTTTAATAATTTCTCTGTGTAGAAGAGTAGAACAAATTAAATTGCATTGGCTTGGATTCATTTCTCCTTTCTTCCATCTTTTATAGAAGCACAGTAATAATAAATGCTTTTACT